GGAGTATGAGCGGGACAAAGAGTAGGAGTCCTAGTCGTAGTCGTAGTCGTAGTCGTTGTGGCAGTGGCAGTGGCAGTCGCAGTAGTAGTAGTAGTAGTAGTAGTAGTAGTAGTAGTAATAGTAGTAGTCGTAGTCGTAGTAGTAGTCGTAGTAGTAGTAGTAGTAGTAGTAGTAGTAGTAGTAGTAGTTAATAGTAGTAGTAGCAGTAGTAGTAGTAGTAGTAGTAGTAGTAGTAGTAGGAGGAGGAGGAGTAGTAGTAGTAGTACTGGTGGTGGTTGGTTCTGATTAGTACTACTATTATTATTAGTAGCATTATTATTATTGTTATTGGCTTTTGTCATTGTTGTTAGTGTTGTTCATCTTCATGTTCATCACTACGACAATGCTACGAAAAATCTACATGTATTTCATCAGCGCCATCGTCGTCGTCATCATATCATGGTCACAGCCACCACCACCACCGCCACCACCACCACCAGCGCAGCTAAACCCTAAACCCTAAACCCTAAACCCTACACCGGAACCGGAACAAAAACAAACAAAGCGCTCAACCCAAGGCAACTCTTCGGAGGCCCCGCCTGCAGGGCTTGCTGCTGAAGCTGGGCACTCTGCAGCAGTTCGTGCGGCCGCTCCTGCTTTCAAAGGTCTCTCAAGGCTCGCGTGCCGGGTCCAAGCAGGTGTTCAGGCTGATTTAGTAGTCTAGTATCTTCTAAGTGTTCTTGTGGGGTTCTACTAAGCACGGGGGTTCTTCTGATAAGGCTCCTGATAAGGTTTCTGATATGGGCTTTGGGGCTCCTAACCATCTGGTTCCCAACCACGCAGAAGGGTGTTGGTTTAAGGCTTGGGAGCATGCGCAGAGGCCAAGGTCAAGACAGCCAGATAATGAGACGGCAGTATCAGTGACGAGCAATGGCAACCCTCATGCTCAGCCCTGAAGCCTCACCGCTAACCTAAACATGCTTACTTGGAGGCCCAGGGGACTTAGTAAGTCGGTTTTAAGTAGAGTTATAATTGGGGTAACTCCATTTAGGGTACTTATAACTCTACTTATAACCTACTTACTAAGTCCCCTGGGCCTCCAAGTAGACTCCACAGCTTAAGTCCTAAATCCCAAAGCCCTGAAACCTCTAAACCCAACGCCCAAAGTAAAGAACCAACACTGTGTAAGAACTCTGAAGACACTTCATAGAACCCTTGTATACTTATATCCTGAAAACCGCCCTGATAGAACCCGTATAAACCCTAGTAGAACCCCTGCCCCTGAAGAACCCTAATTACAAGAACCCTTATAAGAAACCGTCTAAGAACCCAGAAAAACAAACACCCTTATAGAAGCCCTACCCCTTAAAGGAACCCGTAAAGGATCCCTTAAATCTTTAAACGACCCTTAAACGATCCCTTAACGAACCTTTTAGAGGAACCCCTTAAAAGACCCTTAAAGGAACCCCTCAAAGAAAGGACGGACCCCTGAAAGGAGCCGGTAAAGGAACACTTTAAAGGGAACCCCGCAGAGGAACTCTTTAAAGGAACACTTTAAAGGGAACCCCTTAAGGGAACCGTTAAAGGAACCCCTTAAAGGACACCTTAAAGGACCCCTCAAAGGAACCCTTAAAGGAACCCATGCAGGAACTGCTTAAAGGGAACCCTTTAAAGGGAATCTTTTAAAAGGAACCCCTTACAAGGAACCCCGTAAAGGAACCCTTCAAGGAACCCCCTAAAGGACCCCTTAAAAGAACCCCTTGAAGGAATCCCTTAAACGACCCTTTAAAGGAACCCTTTTAAGGAATCCTTTGAAGGGAACCCCCTAAAGGAACCCATAAAGAAACCCCTTAAAGGACACCTTAAAGGACCCCCCAAAGAAACCCTTAAAGGAACCCGTATAGGAAACCCTTAAAGGGAACCCTTTAAAGGAACCCCTTAAAGAACCATTTAAAGGGAACCCCTTAAGGAAACCTTTAAAGGACCCCTTAAAGGACCATTTAAAGGGAACCCCTTAAGGGAACCTTTAAAGGACCCCTTAAAGGACCATTTAAAGGGAACCCCTTAAGGAAACCTTTAAAGGACCCCTTAAAGGACCGTTTAAAGGGAACCCCTTAAGGAAACCTTTAAAGGACCCCTTAAAGGACCATTTAAAGGGAACCCCTTAAGGGAACCTTTAAAGGACCCCTAAAAGGAACCCTTTAAGGGAACCCCTCACAGGACCCCTTAAACGGACCCCTTCAAGGAAGCCCTTAAAGGATCCCTGACAGCAACCCCTTCAAGGAACACTCAAAGGAACCCTTAAAGGACCCCTTTAAAGGCCTTTTTAATAAAAGGACCCCTACCCCAAACCCTAAACCCTAAACCCTGAACCCTAAACCCTAAACCCTGAACCCTAAACCCTAAACCCCTTTACAGGGAACCCCCCTGAAAGGCGAATTTTCCCGAGGTCTCCAGCACTTTGGAGAGCTGACGGACGTCGCATCCGACCTCCTGGGAGTCCCAGTGCCTCAATTGCGTTTAGGGTTTAGGGCGGTTAAGGGTTTAGGGTTTAGGGTTGAGGGTTTTGGGTTTAGGGTTTTCGGTTTAGGGTGTGTGGGGGTTGAGGGTTGAGGCTTTAGAGGTTGAGGGGTTTAGGGTTGCGGGTTCGGGTAAGGGGGCTTGGGGCTTAAACAAAGGTTCTTTAAGGGTTTTACCAGGTTTGATTGTGTTCCATACAGTTCCTGAAGACGTTTTTAGGGATTTATCGAGGCGTTAATAAGATTTTTGGCGTTCGATTAGGATTTCACAGGAATGTACAGTATAGACTTTATTGGAATGTGCAGTATAGATGTTGTAGGAGTCTAATGTTCGGGGTTTAGATCTGGGGTTTTGGGTTCAGGTTTGGTCAGGGTCATCCATGGCAGAAGAAGCAGAGCTCGCCATGTGAAAGCCTCCGGTGAGTCCAAGTAGCTGTGCGACGAAAACATCCAAAGCGGTAGAAGAACTGGCGTCGACCGCAGATGGTGCAGTGCCGCTGTTACAAACCGTGGCACATGTTTCCATCATGGCAGCGGCGAAAGCGGCTACCCGAAGCTAGGTATGGAACTTTGTGCTAAGAGCTAGGGCCTTGCACAAAACCACGCCAACTAAAGCTGAACCTTGGTGGTGTACCTGGCCCTTTCGACACCAGTCAGAGTTTGCCCTCTGAAGCCACGCGAGAAGTTATAGCTTTCTTCATCTCCATTTCGATTCCTGCTTTTGCATTTCGGTCCGGCTGGATCAACTTGAGCAGCTCTCTAAATTAGTTTCCCTTTTCAAGTCCCCAATATACTACGGCACCCTTAGTAAAAGGATCCTAAACGGGACCCTAATGTGGAGTTTTTACATCCCCAATATAGTACGGCGCCCTTAAAGGGGACCCTAATTTAGAGAAAGACCCTTATACTACGCTTACAATAGAAACCCTATGGATACCCCTATAGATCCCATTTAAGGAACCCTTATAGATCCCAGGGCTCCCCAGCCCTATCTCCGAATCCGATATCATAGAAGCCTCAAAAGGGCTTAGGGTTTACGGTTTAGGGCTTAGGGCTTAGGGTTTAGGGAATAGGGTTTAGGGCTTAGGGCTTAGGCTAAGGGTTTCGGGTTTAGGGTTTAGAAGCCTCAAAAGTCAGGGCTTAGGGTTTAGGGTGAGACGGAAATACGGCGACTCATGTTTCAGACCCTTGAACCCTAAAGCCCGAAACCTCAAGACATCCGAAAATTTCTTTTTATACTTTTTTGGTGGAAAACCCTAGACCCTAAACCCTAAACCCTAAACCCTAAACCTAAGATCCTCCACCAGGAGCCCGAGGCCCTGGAACCCTGAACCTTGGCCCTAAGACGCCCCGCAACCCTAAACCCTAAACTGAACCCCTGAACCCCAAAACATCCGAAACCCCAAACCCCGGGCCCCCGAAGCACTAAACTGGCATCGGAATTAGGCGCTTCGGTTGTGAGTTTGGGGGTTTGAGGTGCAGGGTTGAGCTGGTCTGGCTCTCGGAGTTGAGGGATTTGGGTTTTAAGGAGTTTAGGATGTTCGGGGTTTAGGGTTTTGGGCTTAGGGTTCAGGGTTTAGGGCTTAGGGTTTAAAGTTTAGGGTTTAGGGTTTAGGGTTTTGGATGTTTCGGGTTTTGGGGCTTTGAGCCTCTCCAGGCTGCCGTCCTTTTTGTGGCTGTGCTCACTGTCGCTCACTGTGGTGAAACTATCCTGCCCAGATCTTGCAGACTTGATCGTAGGGCAGTCCCTTTAAGGACTCACCGTCATCTAAGAGAACCGTACAGGTGAAGGTCTCGGTCTCCACGGATTGCAGCGTGCCCTCCGGAGGGTCCGGGTCGCCAGGCCGGAGGACGAGAACTTTGTTGCCGAACTTTGGGAGGACGGTTTCGAGCAGTGAAGGCCTCATTCAGGGCTCTTTTGGGCTTTTTCATGGGCTTCAAGTTTCAGACTTAAGGGAACCTAAACCTTGAACCCTAAACCGGGCTTAGGAACGTCTTTAAAGAAGAGAAGGCCTCATCTTCGTCACCGGCCGTACCCCCTCGGGAGGCTTCAGCAGCTTCACAGGCACCAAGCCCCTGGACTGATCACCCTCCTGGGTCACGGCCTTGAGACCGTGCAGGGGGGTATCCGGGCACTGGATCTTCACCACTAGGCCAGGGGGCCACACCAGATCTCCCGACACAATGACAACATCGGCTTCTTTGGCTTCCGGTTCTGGTGCTCCCGGTGACGCCGGCGCCGGTGCTGTCGGTGCCGTCGATGCCGATGCCAGGCTGACAGCGTCGGCTTCCTTGCCTTTCTGAGGTGCCGTGGCCTGACCGGCCTTTTTGCCACCGAACTGGAAGGTCACCTGCGTTTTGAACCCGCTCCCCCCCCCCCCCGATGCAGCTCCCGAGAGCTCTCAACCTGAACAACCCTCACCTCAGCCTCAAGAATCTTGTTAAATCTTGCATCCACGGCCATCCTAAACCCTAAACCCTCAGCCTCATGATGTAGACACGTGACAACCACCTTCTTCATCACCAGAGCAACATCATCGTCGTCGCGCCATCTGCATCATCACCACCAACACTACTGCCACCATCATCATCGTCATCATGATCACCATCCTCCTTATGATCCTCGTTGTAGTTGCGGTCATCATCATCCATATCACTCTGAAAATGGCTCTCCACAGGAAGCTCGTTTCTTCTTTGCCATCACGTCCATCATCGTCATTACCGCCATCTTCATCATTTAATTTAAGCCAACAGGATCCACAAATGCACAAGGAGCAAAGTAGCAACCACCCTCATATTTCCCAGTGGACACAGATACATACTTCATTCTGATATAGTATCATATATCACAGTTTGAAACAATATACAGTTTTGCATCATACCAAAATATGGTATTGTAGTACCAACTAATCTATCATCATATGTTATAGCACCATACCTCGTAATATCATCTTCTGTCATGTCATGTCATAACATAGTATTGGTGCTGTACTAGTCTTACGATTAGCCTTAGCATTAGCATGTGTACTAGTATTAATGTTGGTATAGTACAGTATAGTAGAAAGTAGAATATACTTAAATGTAGTATGTTTTATTACAATATAATGAAGTATAATACAATATAGCATGATATAGTATATTGCACTGAAATACAACATATCCAATCTAATCTTATCTTCTAACATAGTACGATATCATATGATATAACATAACATAGTATGGTGGAACATAACATGATATGATATGACATGATAAAACTGATACAATACGGTATACTATGACAGGATATATAAGACGTCATATACACAATATATATATATATAATATGTATATATATATATATGTATGTATGTATGTATGTATGTATGTATGTATGTATGTATGTATGTATATGTGTATATATATAACATACAATATATAATGTCTGATTTACATTATATAAAGGTAATATATAATACATCATGGAATATATATATATATATACATATCCTATATGAGATATAATACATAAATGAAAAGTACATATTATGTAAGATATCGTATATATTCCAACATATATACTACATAATATGTAAGACGTAAAATATACTATATAGTATAGTATATAATATGAAATGTATACCAGATAACATGAAATATATAGCGTAGAATATATGGTGTGTATATATATACATATATATATATATAATCTACAACAGATAATGTATAGTATACACTATACAACATACATTATATAGCTTCGAGGACCAGTCCACCTTGCCACGGTTGGCGCTTAACGTCTCCATCTCCTCCTCCTTGTCTGGCGGATCCTGCATCCCCACAGCTCTTGGGGTTTAGGGTTTAAATCGTCGTCTTCAGGATCATCACCATCATGGTCTGAATTGACAGGCTCAGCAGAAACGCCTACTCCTGCCTTTACTCGTACTCCAACGCCCGCCCACTCCCAGTGCTCCTCATATCCGGACTAACACTACGATTCAGGCTACGACTTGGTATTTGCAAGTACGTCCTGTGCCCCGGAGGACGTCGCCAACCGTTTGGCCTCGCGCGCCGCTGCGGCCGCGCGCTTGGCACCGCCGTCGTTCTGGGCTGTTCTTGGGGTGCTTTAGAACTTGGAGGTTTAGGGAATTCTACTTGGAGGCCCAGGGGACTTAGTAAGTAGGTTATAAGTAGAGTTATAATTGGGGTAACTCCATTTAGGGTACTTATAGCTCTACTTATAACCTANNTCCCCTGGGCCTCCAAGTAGGCTCCAGGGCTCCCAAACCCCAAACCGAAGAACAACGAAAGCAAACCCAGAACCTAAGACCGCTCAGGGTGGAGAAGGTATATAGAAGTCTGGACAAAAAGGAATAGAGTTGATAACCGATAAATACTTATCCACAAAGCCCTACAATGCCTCCTCCAACAAAAGCATTGCAAACCCTTTCTCTAAGCCCACAAAAACCCCTACAAACCCTCCAAAACCCTGTTGGAGCCCGATAAGTACGCTCTTGAACCTCCTCAGGCTTCCCTAAACCCCACTCAAAACCTATATCCTCAAAATCTTGTCGGGCTTAGGGTTTAGGGTTACTTAAGAACCCGACGCCCTAAACCTCTAAACCCCTTGTGTTGAGTCCCCAGGAGACCTCGAAGGGCCGCTTGGTAGAAGCGGCGGCCTGAGATGCAGCAGAGCATGAAACGGTTTAGGGTTTAGGGTTGTATGAAGAAAGATTGCTATACAAACAGAGAGGGGCTGTTACAGGAAAATCAGGTTTTGCATGGGGTTTCTAAGGCTTTGAGCTTGAGGTGGCGAGCTTAGTGAGTTCAGGGCTCAAGGCTTCGCAACAAGTCCTCTGGACTCTCACCATGTCGCATAGGCCTTTACCCTGGTTGAGCCAAGGGTAAGACGGTTTGAAGCCTCTCCAGCTTTAGGCTTTAGGGCTTAGGGTTT